AAGAATGATGAGGCTTAGGACAGGCTTGGTGGCTCATGAGTGTAATCCCAGTACTTTGGGAGGCCGAGGTAGGCAGATCACCTGAGGTCGGGAGTTTGAGACCAGCCTGAACATGGTGAAACCCCACCTCTAGTAAAAATAAGAAAATCAGCCAGGCATGGTAGCGGGCACCTGTAATCGCAGCTATTCAGGAGGCTGAGACAGGAGAATCACTTGAACCTGGGAGGCGGAGGTTGTGGTGAGCTGAGATCATGCCAGATCACACCAGCCTGGGCGACAGAATGGAAAAAAAAAAAAAAAGAAGAATGATGAGTCTTAGCATCCCAGGAAGTTTTGGGTGGCAAGAGATGGAGAGTATCACTTTCCTTCCTTTGGTACTTCAGTTTCCAGTCTCCTTGTTAGAATGCTGCAAAGCTGGCCTGCTGAGGTCTTCTGTGATCTCCTGTGCTTCCTGCATTTCCACCTGAAAACGAGCCTGCTGCAGGGATGAATCCATGAGCAGATTTTTAATGTAAAGGAAGCAGACACAAAGGAATCCATGGTGTACGACTCCACCAACTTAAAGTGAAAAACACACACAACAAAGAACAGGCACGATGCTGCTTTGCCAGCTGGTTCCCTGTTGGCTTGGCCACCCAGGGATGTAAGAGGGAAGCTGGGATGCTGGAGGACTGGAGTGTGAGGATTAATTTTAGGTGTCAACTTGGCTGAGCCACAAGGTGCCCAGGTATTTGGTCAAATGTTATGCTGGGTGTTTCTCTCAGGTTGCTTTGGGTGAGATTAACATTTAAATTTGTGGACTTGGAGGAAAGCAGATTGCCCGCTCTCATGTGGGTGGGCTTCATCCAATCACCTGAAGGTCTGACGAGAACAAAAAGTCTGGCTGCCCTGGCAGGAGAGAATTCTTCCACAGACTCTGCCTTTGGAGTTCATGCATACCATCCGCCAGTCCTGCTCCACAGCAGGTGCCACTGGACTCTCACTGGAATGTGTATTCGGGGTCTCCAGCCTGCTGCTCCACCCTGAAGATTTGGGACTTGCCAGTCTCCATAATTCTATGAGCTAATTCCTTATCATAAATCTCTCTCCCTCCAAACACACACACACACACACACACACACACACACACACACACACACACACAGAGACAAATGAGTGTAGATGTATTCCAATAAAACTTCCTTTAGGGACATTGAACTTTAAATTTCAAGGGCTGGGCATAGTGGCTCATGCCTGTAGTCTCAGCACTTTGGGAGGCTGAGGCAGCTGGATTACTTGGAGCCAAGAGTTCAAGACCAGCCTGGCCAACATGATAAAACCTCATCTTTACAAAAAACACAAAAAGAAGAAAAGAAAAAGAAAAAAATGTAGCCACATGTGGTGGCTCATGGCTGTAATCAGCTGGGAGGCTGAGGTGGGAGAATCGCTTGAAGACGGGACGCAGAGGTTGCTGTGAGCTGAGACGGCACCTGAGCAAAAGAGCAAGACCCTGTCTCAAAAAATAAAAAATAAATAAAAATAAATTTTATGTAATCTTCATGTATACTCATTCATTTACATATTGTCTGTGGTTGTTTTCACCCTTCAGGTCAGAAGTAGCCCACGACCTTTACACAGTGTTTACCACTGTCATAGACATCTTTTTGTGTGTAGGCGTGCTTTTTATTGTACTTCAGGTTCTGGGATACATGCGCAGATCATGCAGGATTGTTGCATAGGTACATACATGGCAAGGTGGTTTGCTGCCTCCATCCCCCGTCACCTATATCTAGCATTTCTCCCCACGTTATCCCTCCCCAACCTCCCTACCCTTGACATCTTTAAATATAGTTTACTTTCACATGTTTTTATATTTTGTATAAATGAAATAATAAAGTATTGTCTGTCTTGCACTTTTTTGCTCAAAATTATGTTTGTCAGTTTTATGCATGTCATTCATTGCATGTGGTGATGCTGTATTTTCATTATATTGTGGTATTCTGTGTATGATGATACCACTGTGGAGCTCCAGCTCACTCTTCTTTTTTTTTTTTTTGAGATGGAGTCTCGCTCTTTCACTCAAGCTGGAGTATAGTGGTACCATCTCGGCTCACTGCAACCTCCGCCTTCCAGGTTCAGGCAATTCTCCTGTCTCAGCCTCCTGAATAGCTGGAATTACAGACATGTACCACCACACCTGGCTAATTTTTGTATTTTTAGTAGAGACAAGGTTTCACCATGTTGGCCAGGCTGGTCTTGAACTCCTGACCTCAGGTGATCCACCAGCCTGGGCCTTCCAAAGTGGTGGGATTACAGGCTGAGCCACTGTGCTCAGCCATCCAGCCCACTCTCTATGGACAGCGGGCTCTGCCTAGTTTTTGCCTGGCTCACTGGGGATGGCCTACGTCCAGCTCTATGAAAATGCCAAATTGCAGCAGGCCTTTGAGTTCCTTTTAGCAACGCTTGATTGTGTCAGATCTCTCCATGTTCCCTAATATCACAAGCTTGCTATGAAAAGCGACGCCCGGAATCTTGTCTTTGAGACACCAGGGTTGTCTCCTTCAAAGACTGTCTCTTAAGGGCCACAGCTCATAATGGCCTTGGCTGAGATGTATGGAGTGGCTGTTTTTTTCAGACTTGCAAGGTACCAAATTATTCAACTGTCTGTGTGTGGCAGGCCAGTCAGGGGTCACCTTCATTAGCAGCACTCTGGGTCCTTCCTGCTCTCCTTGTGCACTGGCCAGCTCCAGCCAAAGACTGCCTTTTCCACAGGACTTTGTTAAAAGTGGTCAAGAATGAGCCAACAAAACCACTATTCTGGATTCTCATCGTTTTCCTACTGCCCCAGATTTGGATAAATTGTGATCCACCTTCCAAGCTAAAGCAGGCTGCAACCTGGCCAAACATTTCACATGAGGTGCCAGCTTCCCGTCTCAAGGACAGGGATCCTGCTAAACACTCCACACTGCCCAGCATGTCCCAACAGCAAGGAATTATCCAGTCCCAAATGTCAGGAGTGCCAAGGTTAAGGAACACAGCTTTATTTTATTTTATTATTTTATTTTTTTGCGACAGAGTCTTGCCCTGTCGCCCTGGCTAAAGTGCAGTGGTGCTATCCTAACTCACTGCAGCCTCAAACTCCTAGCCTCAAGTCATCCTCCCACCTTAGCCTCCTGAATAGCTAGTGCTATGGGTGTGTAACACCACACCCAGCTAATTGTTTTAAAAGACTTTTTTTGTAGAGATGGGGGTCTTGCGGGGCTGGTCTTGAACTCCTGGCCTCAAGTGATCCTTCTGTCTCAGCCTCCCAAAATGCTGGAATTGCAGGCATGAGCCACAGTGCCAGCCAGAAACCGTGCTTTAGAAAGACATTCCTTTGGTCCAGGTCTGCTTGTGGTAAACTTTTTATGTTGAAAGTCTTCATAGTTCCTAATTGTTGAATAATTAGCTGAATGTACTAATCTGAGGTGTCTGATTTTTTTCAGTATGTTAAATATATTATTCCATTAAACTTTATCATTTTTAACTTCAAGTCATCATTTAGGCATTTTCTCTAGCAGTTTTCAAGGTTTGTCTTCAGTGTTTCGTGGTTTTCTGCACTGTATCTAAGTGTGGATGTTTTCAATTATCCTTTGTGGGATTCAGTGGCATCCCTAACTCTAAGAATTCCTGTCTTTCATCAATTTTGGGCAATCCTCAGCTTTATCTCTTGGATGTAGCCTCCCCTTTCCCTGCGTGATCCCCTAAAGCCTTGTCTGTGCTCTGTTGAAACTTTTCCTTAAGGAAGATTGCACTTCGGATCTTGTTCAAGTTCACTTGGCCCCTCTGCTACTTGCATCTTCTGTGTGTGTGTGTGTGTGTGTGTGTGTGTGTGTGTGTGTGTGATGAAGTTTTGCTCTGTTGCCCAGACTGGAGTGGCCTGATCTCAGCTCACTGCAACCTGGAGGTTACACTGGCCTGCTACCTGCATCTTGTCTGATGTTGAATCTGTCCATTGAGTTTTTATTTCTAATGATATTGTTCATCTCCAAAATAGGAAAAGCACATGTTAGCACAAAGAATGGAACACTAGGTATTGTTTTCTAAGAAATTTATTTGAAAGAATTATATCTATGGAAAATGATAAACATTTCAAAAAAAACTGAATTTTATTTGTTGAGACATTTCAAAGGTCAAACCAGTGGGTCTGGGAGAAGGAAGGAAGGCAGTGAAGGGAAGGACCAGGAGGAGTGGGGGAAGACTGGGAGTCCCTTCTCTACCCCACAGCTCTCTGCTTCATTCTCCTGCAGCTGCCGCTGACCTTTGTGATATCGAGGTCCCAGCCAATCACAGTACTCACTCTTGCTCTCCCAACAGCCTCTAAGGCAAATCCCTGGAGACTCCACCCACTGAGCCCCGCCCCTGGGGTTCTCTACGCAGTGAATTCGTGGACAAAAGGCCCTAGTTACTGTCAGCATAACTACATACTTCACTTTCACAAGTTGGCATGCCTGGGTGAGGGCAATTATTTTAGTCATATGAGCTTCGATTTCTGGGAGATTTAAGTCAATTTAGTTTTTGAGAGTGTTCTATATTTTAAGGGTGAATTTACATGTGCTATTTCATTTTATTTTATTTATTTTTGAGACAGGGTCTCGCTGTCACTCAGGCTGGAGTGCAGTGGCACGATCTTGGCTCACTGCAGCCTCCGCCTCCCAGGTTCAAGCGATTCTTGTACCTCAGTCTCCCTAGTAGCTGAGACTACTGGCGTGCGCCACCACGCCCAGCTAAGTTTTGTATTTTTGGTGTAGAGACTGGGTTTCACTATATTAGCCAGGCTGGTCTTGAACTCCTGACTTGAAACGATCCACCTGCTTCGGCCTCCCAAAGTTCTGGGATTACAGGCATGAGCCACTATGCTCTGACAAAATTTTTTATTTTAAATAAGTTATGGAAATGATGAAAACATTTCATTTATAAAATAAATGTAGCTGGGCATGGTGGCACACGTCTGTAATCCTAGGTACTCGGGAGGCTGAGGCAGGAGAATTGCTTGAGTCCAGGAAGAGGAGGTTGCAGTGAGCTGAGATTGTGCCACTGTGCTCCAGCCTGGGCGACAGAGGGAGGCTCCATCTCAAAAAAAAATTAATAATAAAAAAATGAATCTAGGACATTTAGGAAGTCTGAATTATGAGAAATCTAATTTTGGTCTTGAACAAGTCAAAATATTGTACTAACATTTTTAAAAATGATAAACTAATAATTAAAGAGTGAATCATGCTAAGGTTTTCCTTTCTTTTGAAGTTGGTGTCTTTTTTTATGTCATAGAGAGTTTAAAAAGTTATTAGGGAAATACACCTTCTAGTGTCCATAAAAAGAAACATAGTTTAACAGTCTTTTTTTTTTAAGACAATTTAAACTTTATCTGAACTAAAAATTCCTAGAATATATGGATAACAGCTGAATGCAATTTTTGTTTAATCTTTCAAGTTTTCAAAAGAGGAAAAAAAGAGAGGAAGTGCGATAGAAAAAAATGAGAGGGAGCTGGCTTTAGACAAAGAATCATTTTTTCTCTGCAAAAAGAGGGATGAAAGTTTAAACATTTATACAATACGTACACGAGAGTGTCCTATACCTGGTTTCAACATAATTTCAGTTCGTGACAATTCTATCAAGCCAGATGACTTTTTAAAAGCCAGAATGGGTTAATCTCCAATGTATGGAAAGGAATGATGCCTCCCCTGTGAAACAAAATGATCTGTCATTTAGGCAAACCAGACAAAGATTTTCCTCAGGAGGGTTCTTTTATTCTGGGTATTCAGAGTCTCCTTAAGATGTTTAGCCCAATGTTGATGTTTGTACAATACAGTGATTTGCCAGCCAACATTTTTGTTTACCTGACATAGCGACAGTTTTGGACTTGAAGCCTTCCATAAAATATGGAAATGTCAGCATCTAAAGATGAGTGCTTGGCGCAGTGGCTCACGCCTGTAATCTCAGCATTTTGTGAGGCTGAGGTGGGCAGATCACCTGAGGTCAGGAGTTTGAGACCAGCCTGGCCAACATGGTGAAACCCCGTCTCTACTAAAAATACAGAAAATATCTGGGCGTGGTTGCCCATGCCTGTAATTCCAGCTACTCAGGAGGCTGAGGCAGGAGAAAATCGTTTGAACCCAGGAGGCAGAGGTTGCAGTGAGCCGAGATCAGATCACTGCACTCTAGCCTGGGCGACAGAGTGAGACTCCATCTAAAAAAAAAAAAAACCAAGAAAACCCAAAAAAACAATAAAAAACAAAAACAGATGCTCCTGAGAAAAAAGATGCTCCGATTCATATTCGTGATAGCTTAAGAATATTTTACAGAGGCATTTTTTGAGTTCAAATCATACCAGTTGAAGACAGTAGACCATTGGACATTCAGAATTTTGCTTTGTTTTCGTTTTGTCTAAATCAGAGTTTCCCCGAAGTAATCACTATAATTCTAAACTATCCTTAGGGAAATTGTGCCAGTTAGAAAGTCATGCACAGGCATTAGCATTAGAAAAAATGTAAAGGGAGCCAGTTTCTTTTCTTCGGCCTGAAAGAAGACTCCATGGGAACTTCAGCGTGTCCACAGGTTGGTGCTTGTGTGACATTGCGTCTTGGAGCCAACCAAAGACTAATCGGTATTCAGGGTTGTCCAAGGCTTGGAAGACAAAGCCCTCAGAACACACTGATCACAAGCTGGATGCCATGGTGCGAGCAATAAGCTCTCAAGCTTGCCAATATTCACAGCAAGGGGATTTCCAGGATCAAGTGAAGGAAGGTAATGGAATGAGTTATAACTTCCTTGGGAAACTGCCCCTGTGTGGACCCAGCTGGAGAGGCCTTGGGGAGGAGGGGAAGAAGCACAACCAGCCTCACCAAAGCGCAGTGCTGGAGCAGGCTAGATGAGCCAGGGAGGGTATCCTTCACCTTAGCAATGGCCTCATGCTCAGGTCAGGCCTGCCGCAGTCTCTGGGAAGGCCCAAGGCTACTAGTGCCAGCGTGGGAAGGCTGCTGGTGGAGCGCCCAGGGGCTGGGAAGGTATTCATTTCTCACTCAGCTCCAGAAGCACTGTGGGCTGCCCCACATTGGGTGGGCACCACCAGGCAGGTAAGGAGAGGAAGAAGCCTGCTTGGGTGACCTGGGGCCAGCCCAGGAGGACGACCGTTCCATCTTCTGCCAGCACCGTGGGCTGGTTCCATGGGACACACAGCAGCTGCTGGGTCCACAGGCTGGGGAACCTGGTGAGGATTCAAGGTGTGCCTGGGATGGGCGGTCCCAGTGAGCAGTGGTGACATGGGGGGCAGCATCTAATTCTCAGGACATCAGGGTGTGAAGAGGGTGTGAGGCCCAGCAAACCAGACCCAGGGGAGTAGGGAGCAGATCGAGAGATGTTCCCAATCCAGGAAGCCCTGGCTTCCATCATGCTGAACACAAAACTACCCTCTCAGAGGACATCACCCCTTGTTTATAAATTCATATTCTAGAAAATCCCCAATGCTGTTTTTGGAGCCATGTGATATGACTGCCAGAAATCAGGCAGGGAAGGGAATGGCAGGTACACTTCCAGGTTGGGGGTGTCAGGCACTGTAACAGAGAGAGGACGGGGCAGGAGCCAGTGGGGAGCTTTCCTGCAGAATTCTGAGATTGCCAGGCAGAAGCTAGGCTGGGATAGGGTGGGAAATGCTTTACACAATAAAGATTAGATTACTAGGAGCCCCAGCCTTCTAATGCTCTCCCTGCTCTCTGAAGCTCCCTCCACAGACTCCTCCACCCCAGAACCTTCCAACAGGTAAGCTTCAAAGCCTTCCTACCTGTCCAGTTCCTTAGCTCCTGGCCAGCCCCTCACTGTTGAGCCCCTCAAGCCCCTGTTTCCAACCACCCTCACTCTGGGGATCCCTGCAAGTTGTGCTGACTCCCCCAAGGCCTTGTGGCCACCAGCGGATGCTGGGAAATCATCTCTGCCTGAGCAAATCAGAACTTCCTGTAGGATACAGGTGTCGGGATCCGCTTCCGGTTGAGTTGGTTGATATTCTGGGTAGCACACATTGAAGTTCCTCTGGACTGACAGTCATCGTGTCCATTCTAAAGAAGGTAGAGGAATCTGATGGAGAGAAAGTAGGAAGAGTCACCCAGACTTGCAGGCTGCCTCCTGTGCTGATCCTGAGAACGTGCTCACATGGCATATGTGTTTCTTTTTGTGGCCATTTGTAAGAATAGGAAATGACCTATTCTTACAAATGCCCGCAGGCGTGCTGCTTGATACAACACCCTTTATTTATTTATTTATTTATTTTTTTAGAGATGCGTTCACCCTCTGACATCCAGGCTGGATGGAGCATAGTGCTGCAATTAATTTCAGCTCACTGCAGCCTTGACTGCCCTGGGTTTAAGTGACTCTCCCATCTCACCTTCCCGAGTAGCTAGGACCAAGGTGCATGCCACCACCTGCAGCTAATTTATTTCTATTATTATCATTATTTATAGGGATGACTTCTCCCTATGTTGCCCAAGCTGGTCTGGAATTCCTGGGCTCAAGTGATCCTCCCACCTCCCAAATTGTTGGGATTACAAATATGAACCACCAAACCCAGCCACAGCACCCATTTACTCTCATACCACTGAAGTCCCTAAGTCAGCAAGCATGGGGCTTGGTACTCTGCTTAGAGTCTCATAAGATCGACATCAAGGTTTTGTCTTCCTTCAGCTTATATCGGGAGCTCTGGGAAAATCCACTTCCAGGCTCATTTTGTTGACACAGTTTCCATTAAGCCCCTTCCATTGTCAAGCCAGCAACAGTGGGTTGAGTCCTTCTCATGCTTAGAATCTCTCTGACTTCTCCTGCTGCATCTCTGTGATGCCTGTCAGAGAAAGCTCTCTGCTTTTTAGGGCTTAAGTGTTTAGATTGGGCCACTTGGATAATCCAGCATAATATTCCTAGTTTAAGGTCCATAATTTTAATTACATCTGCAGAATACCCTTTCGCCATATAGTGAAACACAGTTATGGGTTCCAAGGATTAGGGCAGGGCCATCTCTTTGGGGGACCATTCTGCTGACCACACATGGTCATGTTTCCATAAAATTTGCAAGTGATTTTTTTGGTCTTCTTTTGTATGAGAGTCTCCATCCTTCTCTTTATTGAAGACGGTTTTTCAAGGTATGGTTCATCATTGTTGCTTTACTTACAAAATGAATTTGAATGGCAATCATCATTTTATTAACGAATATAGTAAATTTAATTACGTAAAAAAGAGTGGAAAATATCGGGGACTATCGTACGTAACTATTTACATTCCATGAAATTGTTAGTATGCACACACATCTCTGAACTAGGTCAGGACATAAGTATACTTAGTATACTTGGTTAAAATAAAATATTTTTAAAAGACCATTTAAGGAAATGATCCTAGAATTCATCTGGAGCCTCCAGTTAGGCCTGTCCCTGTCCCAGGAAGGCTTAGAGCCCCTGGGGGAGACAGAGCGAGTCCCCTGGTGAGAGGTTCAGGCTGATGGAAGCCCCGGCCCCGGCAGTTCCCTCTGACCCTCCACCCCACGTATAGAGACTGGAAGGCTCACCCGTGTTGTCTCACTTTTTTACCTTTTAGGTATGTCTAGAAGTCAGTTTGGACAGGGGCAGAAACCTCTAGACAAGTTTTTCTGGGTGAACGAGATAAGTGGAGAAATCACCTACCCCCCGCAGAAGGCAGATGCACCTGCGGTTCCTCCTGAGAGACGGCAAGAGAGGCCCCCATCTCAGCCCAGGAGTGCGCAGGGGGCTCCTTGCAGTCCCCAGGGCCCGCCTGCACAGAGGCCTGCCCCTGCACCTCCACCTAAGGCTTCTCTGAAAGACTCGGGCACGAGAAAACCCCACCCATCTGTGCCGACCTGGGGCCGGGCCAAAGCCGGAGGAGGGAGGAGCCCCCCACCGTTCTCAGCAATCCCTGTCACCATCTCATCACCAGGAGGGACTCTGCCCGTACTTGGGCCCCTGGGACCAGCCCCTCAGCCACTGGTCTCCACCTTTCCTCTCAGCACTTCTGCCCCCTGGGCCTTCACCTACAAGCTGAAAAATGTCCCTACTAAGAAATAACTGGTTTTCGTTTTGAATCTTAAGAGAATTTGGCCACAGTCTTTAAGCACCTTTCTGAGCTACCTGTGGACAGAGCGGCCCCACCTGTACACCAGGCTCTGCAGGCCCCATCTGCCTTCCCGGAAGCGCAGGCCTCACCCCGGGGTCTCACAGAAATGCTCAGTGCTTTAAAGTCCAATACAGTTCTACTTTGATTTTGACATAACGTTCTCCAGAACTTCCTTTCCCTTCCTTTGAAATAGCGAGCTGTCCTGGCATTTCACTCTTAATTCTTTGGGCTTCTGAGGTTGATGTCAAAGCAATATGAGTAGTTTCTAGCCAGCGCCTGGGGACCTCCTTGGGTGGGGATGGAAACAAGCCAGGATGACTGGGACCTGCAGGCCCAGGGTCCCTGGGACCCAGCCTCCGGCTTCCAGGCTTGGGGACAGCTCTCAGGGCAGGGAGGGGCTGGGGTCCTGCATGGAGCTCCCTTCTGAGGCAGCCTGAGGCTGGAGGAAGCCAGCAGGGGACACCACCCTTTTTGGAGGAGCCACCTGCTTCCTCAGCTCTGTGCTTTCTCTGGGCACTGCCTCTCGGCCCTCCAGGCATGGAGTGACTCAGGCAACATGGGAAGTGGCCTCCTCACAGACCTGGCCCTCCTGGATCAGGCTGGCCGAGGGCTGCAGGAAGTCCCAGGGGTGCAGGAGTGCGTCCTGGAGGAAGGACAGGCTTGGCCTGGGCACACAAAGTGACCTGGTTTGAGGAGGAGCTGCTGGAGAAGCTACTGGTGTCCCTGAACAGGTGCCAGGAGGCTCCAAGTTGTACTAGAGCAGCTCCAGGTAAAATGTGTCATCAGGATGGACTGTGAGTACCCCAGGAACACCAGAGAGGAGTGGCGCACGCAGAGCAACGTCAGGTCAGAAGCTGAAGCGCAGCCTGGCCAGCACCTCGGCGCCTTAGTCAGACTGGCAGCGCGTTCTCGGCTTTGCCAGTGGGGCACTGTGACCAGCCACATGGAGCTTGAGGTGCTGGGTATCAAGGAAGTGAACTTCTGAGGGCAAGGAAGAGCAGAGCTACCCAAAAGAGGAGACCCTGGTGCTCCTGGCTTATGGGTGTCTAACCACGGAGTCTTGGTGGAGAAACACCTGCCCTGCCCCTCAGCAGGCTGCACCAGCCCAGCCCTGGAATCATCACACCCACGTGCCTCCCAGATCTCATCTGATTCTTGGTCAGACCCAGGCCTCCAGGGCCCTTCATCCTAGGTGGGGCAGGTCAGAGGTCAAAGGTTAGGGTGACTCTGTGTCTCTTTCTGACTAGGGCTTCCAAGTTATTCCAGGAAATGGGCCCATGGAGGACCCTGACCCTTCTGAGAGTTCTCTGAGCTGGGGGCACGGGCCTGGGGTCCAGTCTCAAGTCGTCCACTATGTCCTGTGACCATGACAGGATTCTCCCTATCTTGGCCTCATTCTCCCTCCCTGCACAGTATGGGAGTGAGCGAGCCAGTCTGTCAAGCCTGCAACCTACAGTCTGTGACAAAACACTGGGAAAAAGAGGTGGCATGAGGGTCAGACCCAGGCTGGGGTCAGCTGTCCTGAACCTGGCTGCTTCTGAGGGTGGCAGAGGCCCTGCCCATCAGGCTCCACAGGGCGGTGGGTGCTCTGCCCTTGGGCCATCAGCTCCACAGGGGGGTGGGAAGACTGGTGTGCACTCCCTGTGCCCCTTGCAGGACGGCCTTAATGAAGTCCTTGGTGTCATTGCTGGTAGGGCTTCAGTACATCCAGCTGTGCATGGCAACGCAGCCAGCAAACAATGGAGACCAGGCCAGGCTGGAGGGCAGCGGGAGGGCCGGAGCCTGCGGGGTCATCTGGACCCTGGGCCTTGGAGGGAAAGGTTGCCAGGGCAGGGACTGTGGGTCTCTTGGGCAAGTGACTGGGACCAGGGCCTCCAATCCTAGAGCCCCAGCAAGTGTCATAGAGGTGCCCAGAGAGATATAAGCCTGGCCTGCAGCAGGAATCTGAGTTCACCTTCCGGTGGGGATCAGGGCTCAGTGTACACCAGCAGAGTCCCCAGGGCAACAAATCCCCTGCACAAGCCACCTAGAGCCCTTTTGGGACAGCATGGCTTAGTGCTCTGCCCTGGGGCCTGGCAGGGCCCCTTCTGCTGACAGCGGATGTATGAAAATACCTGGGCAGCAGTTTCCACCCATTTCCAAGACAGTTATCAGTTTGATCTCTCAGGGTGTCTAATCTGGAAAGGCAACTGGCAGTGGGCGTGGCCCCCTCACGTGGGCTCGGTGCCCTGTGCTGGATGACAAGGGTCTTGCAGTTAATTTCAGTAACTTTACCCCACGCTAGGGTATGTGAGTGTGTGGTAGAGAGAGGATAGGGGAGTGGAGGTGGGATGAGTAGGGATCTGTGAGGGATCTCATTCTTCCACTTTCTGAAAGATGAGGAGACTGAGGGTCAGAGTGGAGAGACCCTTTAGTCACACAACTGTGAAGAAAGGGGCTATTTGGTCATGAAATGCACATTCTGTCCCCAGTGGTAGGAGGAGTGGGAATTGGAGGGAATCTTGGGAAGTGTCCTTGGGGATCATAGACCATAGAGACAAAAGCAGTCAGGCCTGGGCAGGGAGGGTGCCCAGGTCACACATTCAGCAGTCTTGCTTCTGGGGGTTTGTTTTGAGACCCCTCTCAGGTGATCTAAACTTGCTACATTGTGGCTCTGATAGAGTGATGTTTTGAGTAAAGCCCAAATCTCAGGTTTTCATGTCTCCCAGGCAGAATTTGTGTTAGGGGGTGGTGTCCTGTTTGGGGCAGAGATGAGGGAAGGATGAAGGGGTTCTAGGTCTATATTAGTCCATTTTCATGCTGCTGATAAAGATATATCCAAGATTAGGTAATTTATAAAGAGAAAGAGGTTTATTGGACTCAGTTCCACGTGGCTGGGGAGGCCTCACAATCATGGTGGAAGGGAAAAGGCATGCCTTACATGGTAGCAGGCAAAGAGAGAGAGAGAGCCAAGTGAAAAGGGA